AAAAGAATCATATGTAGATAAAAGAAGACCTGGCCGACCATCAAAGCTATCCAAATGGAATAAAGCGAAATTATTGTTTCAAATATTAAAAAAAAACTCCAAGAATGAGTGCTCCTAAAGTTGCTGTCTGATTTACAAGCATTATATGGAGTAATTGTTAATCCTGAGACTATTAGAAGAGTAATTCGATCTGCTGGATATCACGGTAGAGCAGCCAGGAAAAAATTCTTCGTTGAGTGAAAAGAATAGAAAACTCAGACTGGCTTTCGCAAAATCTAACATAAATAAGAACTCTGATTACTGGAATGAAGTTATATTTGCTGACGAGAGTAAATTTAATATATTTGGTTCTGACGGTAGAATCTTGATGTATAGAAAACCCAGGAAAGAATTTCGCAAACAGAACTTGGTGCCAACAGTAAAACATGGTGGAGGAGAAGTTATGGTATGGGGGTGTATGTCGTCCGCTGGAGTTGGTAATCTTGTTTTTATTGACAGTATAATGGATTAGTACAAGTATATTGACATTTTAAATCAAAATTTCAAAAATCAAATCAAAAATCAGCATGAAAATTGAACCTTCATAACGATTTTAAATTCTACCAGGACAATGACCCCAAGCACACTGCTTTGAACTTTTGACTCTGGCTGCTGTATAACTGTCCTGAAATAATAAAAACACCACCACAAACTCCAGACTTAAATCCCATAGAGAATATTTGGCAAGAATTGGAATCAAGAATTCGCAAACACACCATTTTTTCAAAACAACAATTAAAATCATTACTTCAAGCAAAATGGGGTAAAATCACTCCAGAAATCACAAAAAAATTAGTCGAATCCATCCCAAGAAGATTAAATCATGTTTTAAAAGTAAAAGGAAATCCAACAAAATATTAAAACATTTTAAGAAGTAAAATTTTTGGATAAATATTTGATGGAAAAGTAAGTGTCCCATCACTTATGTAAGCCTTTTTTTTGCTCTGTTCTAAGCTATTGTATTTTTATTAAATTACCATTTTTATATTTTGTGAAAATGTATGTTATGTAATAATTGTTACTAAATTTATGTATGAAACACACCCACAAAAAATTTTTACACTTTTTTTTTTAAAATTTATTTTACTAGTTTCCTTTCGTAAAGCACAAGTGTCCCCTCACTTTTGTGAGACACTGTATATAGCATGTTAAAATGTAAGTGTGTTTGGATGCTAAGTGAAATAAAATAATGCCAAAATACTAGGGCATAACAATAATGATAATTTACTGTGATCTGAAATCTAGAAGGCTCTGAAAAGTGTTCAAGGGACAAAATGGTCATGTTGAACTGAATACGTAAAAGTGAAAAAACTGCTATTTCCATCCACAGGCATTCTGGTCCAAGACGTTAATTCAGGATATGGTCACTAATAACGGAGGGCGATGTCAGATTCCCCATATTGTGTCTACTTTGCACAACATTATCTAACAGCTGTTGGGGTAATTTATCCGTTCTTCTGTCAGTGCACTGATGAGGGTGTCCTTGTTTACTGGAGGACATTATCAATCAGCAGTATTGAAAATGTTTGGACCTCTGCATAGCATCTCAAACATAATCAGTGGGATTCAAATCTGGAAAATGTGCTGGCTATACAAGGCGTTGAATATCATGGCTCTATAGATACTCCTGGACAGCAAATGTTCGATGACGTGTTTCATTGTCGTCCATGAAAACAATTTTATCACCGATAGCACCACGGAACATGCAAACATAAAGCAGCAGATCATTAATGTATCGTTGGTCGGTCACAGTCCTGCAACGACATGTAAGGGTATGTGGCCATTGATCATTCAACTCGTCCATACCATAATACTGCATCTTGGATATCGACCCTTTCCTGGATATTTTCTGGACGATAAGCAGTACCTCTCTCACACCATATCAGCTGGTGTTTATAATCCAGTAACAGTCTGAGCTTACTCTCGTCTAAGAATAGTATACAAGTTCTATTGGATTCAATTATGATGCTCATGATATCATTGCAAATGGGCAGTATATTACTATCCGGATAATGGAATACATACAACAGGACAGCGGGAGCATAGTCCTCTTTGATGCAAATGTCTGGCTACAGGTTTTCGAGAGATTTGCTTGGCAGTAGCAGCAAGTAACTGATTTGATACCTCAGTAGTTGTGCTGCACCAATTCCTTTTTGTGGATAGCACTTTGTGGATAGCTTTTGCACGTGTCGTAATGCAAACATGATTCCCCATGACGTCTGCCACGCATACCATTTGTTTGAAATGATTTCCATAGCCTTTTTGTGGCACCAATTCCTTTTTGTGGATAGCACTATGTACCTAGCTTCTGCACGTGTCGTAATGCAAACATGATTCCCTGTAACGTCTGCCACACATTCCATTTGTTTGAAATGATTTCCAAAGCCTTGACACAACACTGTAGCTGACACCCAACACCCTAGCATCATCTGCTATTTTTCGCCCTTTTTCAATCTTGCCAATAATATGGCCACACCTAAAATCATCTAATTGATGTCTGGAAGACTTACTGAAACTTGCAAGTTTGTTAATTTATTCTTTCCCGTTTTATTTTGCCTTTGAACAAAGGTCAATATGTGTCAAATTGTTTATCTCTTTTATCAGTGCATCATTTGAAAAACACCTTTGAGCATCCAAAATTTGCATACACACAACACATCTTACTGTATCTCGCACTTATCCTAATTTGCACATTTTCCTGCCTTCCATTTTGTAGTTGCTATTGCTGTCATCCATCCTTTGCAATTGTCCACCATTGTATTATGGTATATAAAGTCATAAAACTAGAAGCAATGCTTTTTAACATTTTATTTTTTGACATATGTTTGAAAATACTATATAATTATTTCATAATTTTTTAATTCAATTTTAAATGAAATTTAAAAGGTAATCAAATACATTGCTTCCTGTACAGGTTCATATTATCAAAGTGGTGGTTCAATGATCAGAGCTTACTATCAAGTCAAATTTTCAAATCAATCCTTGGTCAATAATAAAATTTAATTAATAATCGACATCTAATGATCTCGCACATCTCTTCTCTGCAAAATCTAGCATCAATCTCTGCCAACCCACACAATAGCACCCTCTTGCGGTAAGCGGGTTCATCCATATATTTCGCCACATTTCAAAAAAAGAAGGAAAAAATGTAATTTCTTACACAAAAACACTTACATATTGTCCAAAATATAACATTAGATTGCATGTTAAACATTTCGCAGAACACCATACAAAATATTATTTTCACAATATTTTAAAAAATATATTATACTATTTATGTATTTCTTCACATATAGTAAACACTACACAATTTGATTACATTTTTATTTTGCGAATATGCTCAACTAATATGAAATTTTATTTCGATTTTCACTCATTTTTAGCAGTTATTTCTCCAAATTAGGTTCTCCCATGACATATATATATATAGGTTGTTTAAAATTAGTTTATAAAAAAAAAAATACCAGTAATTTTTTTAAGATGAAATAAGATTTAAACTTACATATTTTTGCATAATGTTAAATTTATACTTTTATTACTATATCTGTAAATTATTAGTTCTGATGTCTTATAGGTAGACCAGTTAATTATTTATTAGATAATTAAAAATTCTTCCGACAAGCTTAGAGTTATATTTTGCACACAAATGAACTTCTGTGAAATGGAAACTCAAACTTATCAACTTCTTCTTAAAGCCAACTTATGTTGCTATAAAAATTACTTATAAAGAATGTGCTGATGTTTAGAATTTCTTATACGGAAATTCAACATGTTACCATTTTGCCATTTTATTTATATTCTTAGCATTTCATTTTCAAAGTTGATTTTCTTAATAATAACAGTATTATAATTAGCAGAAGCTTAAGAACAGATATTATATAATTCTCATTAAAAGTTATAAGTTGTCACTGAAAACAGGATACAAAAAATTACCAAGAGTAAAAATCTAAATTTTCACTTCATTTTATTATATATTTATGGCGACAGCATTGTTTTCGGTTAATATCCAGAATTATTAATTCAGAAGTCAATTGTTTGGCGTGTTATTGTGTCCTAATATCCAGAATTATATCCACACAAAATAAAATCTGGAAGAAGAATGAAAAGAATCTAACAGCAGCACTTATTACCTATTCCCAAGTGCATTTATTATGTATGCACAAGTATTCCAAATGAATGAAAGATAAACCTTTTAATACATCTCCAATGCACGCTCCTTAAAGACATGTTTTCAGACTGCTGCTATTCAGCAAAGCATTATATCTTTAATTTATTCAATCAGGTCTAATTAAAATGTTGTGAAACGCATTTTTTTCAGTTAAAAAATATTTACTACATTTATCTAGTATTGTATAAATACTACATGTATAAAATACAACTCTTTGCATGTAAATTTTATTCTTTTTCAGTCAATTTAAGTTTCATACAGGAGTAGTTTTCTTTCTCTTCTAAAGTTTAATCTGACAGTCACTGTATTAAATACTATTTGGAAAGTGCTTCACCTCTAGCTAAGATATATTGCTCTAAAAATATAACCATCTTACCCTTTAATGAAAAATAAGGGTGGTTTTGTTTTAAGGCCTGGAGATTGTGCTTTGTTACACATAATCAGCCTACATTTATAAAGTTTTTGTCATTTTGCATACAGATACTATCTCCAGTTTTGTAATTCAAAGACATGCCTAAATAAATTATTTTTGTAATTCCAGTTCTGTTAGTTAGATGAAGCAACTGGCAGTTAAGTTTTAAACAGAGTTAGTCTGCAATTAAATTTCAGTAATTCTTAATTTTTTAATGTGTTTAAACATTTATATTGTTTCATTATGCTTTAAAATAAATCTTTTCCTTCTCTGAATTTTCAACTTCAAACAAGAGGGGAGTTCTTAATGTGAAACTACATAGTTCATTCTGGAAAATATACAATTAAAATGGCAATAAGCACAAAATAAGTATTACACAGATTAACTATTATACATTCAAATTTAATATTCAGAGTAAAATCAAGTTTACACCCAGGTTCCTTATCTACATATCATAAGCATCAGTACATGACAAAAATAAGATACTAAATCAAAATACTTGAAAGAAGTTGTTCTCAAGAGAATTGTGCAATCAGATAATATTCCAAAGCTTTGCAAAATATAGTGTCAACTCAGTACACAGACCAGCAATGTACAGAATATGCAAATACAATAAAATTACAATTCATTAATAAATAAATACTTAAAAATTAAGCATAACAGACAATGAAAATACATTTTAGATAACCTTCAGGATTATTTGGTAACCTTTTACTACTCTTTCAGAACATTATGGCTTCACAAAGTATTTAACCCCCACAGTTATCAATATTTATTCACTGCAAGGCAGAATTGCCTAATTTTAATATGTACTCTTATATGTTTAATAAGATAAACGCCTTAACTGTATCAAAGTCATTTTAAAATTCAAATTATTTTTTCAAAAAACTGATAATTTTAAATACAAATTCAGATTTTAAAATCAAATTATATATTAGAAATTATGTACTATTATATACTAGTATATTTAGCTCACGTATTCCTCAGAAAAAGAAGGGGGGAAAACAGCATAAAGAAACATTTTTGACTTAAAATTCATAAAATGATGAATCTCTGTAAAATATAACAACATAAAAAGATGGATTTATATAACATCTCAAAAAATATCTTTAAAATATTTTTAATTTAAAGATACTATTTCCAATCAAATTCTTTAAAGTGAAGCTCCTAATTAATTAGATTCAAACCACAATAATTTCTAAATTTAAGGGAAAAAAGAAAAAAATAAGATTTTGGCTAGACTACTCCTTTTTTTTAAAAACAAAGGTTAACTGATCAAACAGAAATATTTAGAAAGAAAATACTGGCCACTTCTTCCTTTAATAGCTCAAAAATTTATATTGGTTCTTAATGCATTTTTCTATCAACCGTGAACATTGGTGGAGATCTTGCAAAACTTGTGCCAATTAGTTGACAGTAACTGGAAAGAACAGATCACTCTTAATTCAATAAAATAATCAACAGATACGATTTGCAGATATAGCATACAAAAAAACTTGAATAAATATAAGCTCAAACTAGTGTTAACCATTCTGGAGAAAGTTTTTGAAGAATAAATCACTTTTTATTCAGTTAACTAATTAACGGATGAACTGGTTTCTGGTTTAGTAATCTATGTTAATATATAAAAGCATGTGAACATTTCATGAGTATATTGTGACACAACACTTATCCACTATTGCCATTAAATCGCACTGTTTAGCGACAATTTTTGTTTGTCGAACACGGTTGATGGAGGAAAATATGTTGCATTTTTAGATTTATTACAAATTATAAATGATAACAGGGAAAAGAGGATTAATCATAAAACTAACCACTTCAGATCAAAATTTTCTAAAAAAGTAATCCCATACACAAATTCTACTTGCCACATAGCTTCAAAGTTGGCATACGATTTTAACAAAATTATAAATACAAAACTTGCATAATTCATACTTCAAAGTAATATGGACAGTGAAAACTGTTTAGGAATAACTGCATATCATACATAATACAAGCTTAAAAAAATAGTCAATAGAAGTCAGAAATGCTGTTATATCATGATTGAGATTACTTTCTTTTGCTTAAAAAAGTCACACAAACTATACAAAGTGTGTTATTCATAATATATCATTAACTATTTGCATGGAGAGAAACATAATGTTGATTGAATTCCAACACCTATCAAAACTTGACAGTTAATAAAACATTGAAATAATTACCTTTAATATAAAATTCTTAAAAAATTCTACATAATGTATAAAGATGTTTTCAAAGCTGCCACTATACAGCACAATTTATTAATCATATATAAATTTATATTATATATGATTATTAAACATTATCACACTAGATGAAACTCTGCCACGATACATTTGTTACCCATTTAAGTTACTGAAGAGTGATGCATTGAAGCTTTTTTAAAACTGTAGCCTCATCACAATGATTGCTTACGAGGCATACTTTTGTACCATTTTTATGCAATTTAGGATGCTTTAGCAAGATTAAAAAATTTCAGAAGAAAAATTAAAAAAAAAAAGTACTCATTAACACCAACAAAATGACTAAGAATATTCTCATCATCGACCTATTACATAGCATCACAAAATCATCAATTTACAAGATTACACCTAGATTCTCAGTAATGTTGTGTTTAGGTTACATTTACTATAACGTTAAATAATATTCACACACTTGAGTTATCAGAAAAAAAAAAAGAAAGTGCTTGAAACATAAAATTGTTAATGACTTATGATTACCTATGAGATTTAATACATTTTCTTACAGAACTTTTTTTTTTGGGGGGGGGCCTCCACACAAGCAATACAGCTTGAGAATGGTTTTGAGCATTATTACTTAAGACTACGTTAATTATATTTCTCAATGTTAGTCAAAAATGTTTTATGGATGCTACAAAAAAAAAAAAAGGCCAAAAGAAATTCAAAAATTTTCCTAATACTTTGATGTATACCTCGAAAAGTTTAGTTCATGATAGTTTGTAGATTTAGTACACACCACCATAAAGAGAAAAAGTCAAGTGAAATAATTGTACTTGTCTTTAAAAACAATATATATACATATAAAAAAAAAACTAGATCAGTTTGAAAAATAAAATGCATTTCATTAGAGAGTACATCAAACAATTTAGTTATTAATGATAATGTAAATATGTTTCCAAATAACTTTTTACTTTTTTTTACAAAAGGGCATAAAAATTAAATATAAAGTCTGAGATTGTTAGTTAAATTAAAAACTTATTGGTCCCTTTAGAAGCAGCTTAGACATAATCCAACACCAAAAGGGTGATATCGCCCAAATGAAAAGTACAGAAAACTGAAAAAATGGAAAGCTTTTTCTTTTTTGGTAATGCTTTTTGGATATTCATTCATCAATCTTCATATAGCTATCATACATTACCAATAACTGCTGGTATTCAAATATACACTACATGCACAATGAAAAATCATTCTAACAGAGCACAAAAAAGCTGCTTTCACGTTTTCAAATCCAGGCTTACTAGAAAGAAACTTTCAGATGCTCTCCTTTGTTAAAGTTGTTTAGAAACTGTTTATGCTTTGAAGGGCAATATCATTTTAAAACAGTAATGATGATATACACTCAAATCCAAAATAGAGATATATAATTTGCTTCAATTTTATGGAGATTTTGCAAGTTCGTTACACAACCAATCCAAACCTTCATACAGACCATCTCCTTGTGTCGCACAAGTAGCCTGAATGTACCACTAAAAACAAAAATAAGAAAATTAATTTCAAAACTGTAGCTTTAAATTTTTCTGAACTAAACAAACTAGGATTTTCCTTTAATGAAAAATTGTATTCTACAAACTATAAAATCTTTAGCATTATATGAAAACAATTCTACATTGAGATTATTCATAAAGAACTTCTCAACGCAACTACTTATCAATTAGCCAACCTTACAGAAGCATCTATAATAAACAGGATTAAAATTTTTCATAAGAAACTCAATATTACTTTCAATGCAAACTACAACAGATTTACTAATCTTTATGCGATTCCCAAATTCCATAAAACACCATTAAAATTTAGATTTATAGCTAATGGAACTAATAATTACAAGAAAAATATAGACTATTATTTTTCAATTCAACTTAATAAAATCTGTAAATTTATTTTTAATGATTGTAACACTAATCATAACTATTGCTGGATCATTCATTATAGCACTCCTGTCATTAATACCATTCATACCATTAACATCCAAAACATTAACTGCTATGATTTTGAAAACTTATATACCTCACTTCCTCTAGAAGAAATCTATACCAGTCTACTTGATCTACCAATACTTTTCCCTAATATACTCAATATCATGACTCTTGACAAATGGAAAACCTACCCTAAAATGCACACTTTTTCATAACTACATCAAGTTTCAAAATCAACTTTTTAAACAAGTCAGAGGATTGCCAATGGGCTTACATTCCAGCACCTCGATCTGTAATATCTTTTTATTTGTCAAAGAATTTAACTTCCAAAAAAAATCTACAACCACAAGAGTTAAATTACTACAAACACACCTACAGATATATTGATGACCTTATTACAATTAATAATTTTGGTAAAATTGAACACTCCGAGATTTATCCGAATTGTCTTACACTTAATAAAACTAATAATTCACAAAATAGCATAGACTTTCTAGATCTTCAAATCATTAACTACAAAAAATTTTACTTTTTGACAAAACAAGAAACTTCAATTTCAATACTAACAAATTAATAAATTGGAACTCCAACATATCCAAAAAAGTAATTAACAATACTATAATTAATCAAATACAACGAATTAAAAACTATATGCACAGATACAATAGATTTACAACGCGAAATTTTGATCCTTATCAAAATTCTCAAAAATAATCTAATTCCCTTTCAATTTATCAACCATTGCCTTAAAAGAGCAGGCGTTAAATACTCACTCTAAATCATTTAACTGATAGGGATATGATAATTTATTCCTAAACCTGGAAGGCGGTATAAGTTGGATGACTGTCAGTTGAAAGATTTGTATATAGTGTAATTACTCAATTGTATATATTGTAAAAAGCTAATTGTCTTCAGACATATACTGTTACTAAAAAAATGGGCCTATTTCCTGCCTTTAGACTGTCCATTAGCTCTTGGACAGCGAAAATGCCTTTTTCCTTTCTTAAATTCTTAATCATTGCGACACGACAATTAGCCAGAAATTAATTAATTTCCATTCACTAGTATTTTCAAAAAATCTTAACAGATGGTCTCTCTCAGATAAGAACTCCACAAAATACATCCCTCAAGAATTCCAAGTCCCACCCACTACCATAAATTACTTCACCCAAGTCTTACCGACTGATATTATTCAAAGCCCCTACTGCCGCTAAGAATTTTCGGACACCCTACACTTCTGAGTCAGACACGAAGAGAACACTTTGCCAACTCCCCCACTAGAAAGAATGTAAGTTACTTAATACCTTTCTGGCCTTTATATCTTCATGTACATTCACTGATCTTATTATATTACTATTATTTTTTATATTATTTTATATTTCTTTGATTTGTTTTTTTTACAAAGTTTGCATTATTTATCTTTTTTATAATCTTCTATGTTTATTTCAACTTTACTTTGAATTCGATTTCATAATGACAACTTTCCAATGTTTAATTTCTTAAAAAAATAATATAGTACTCAAATGCGTAAACGATGAAGTGTCGGGGACGGTTACTCGAGTTTTACAGGATTTCTCTACAGTAATTGATTTTTACTCCAAATTGAATTGACTAAAATGCTTCATGAGAATAAGTTCTTTGAGTATCAGCATTAGTTCATAATTCCTACTATTCGCGGAAATACTTGGCCTGACTAGAATTGCCGGTTTGGCTTTAACTTATAACTTGAGTAAAGACGAAACACTTTCGTATTTACGTATTTTTATCAATTATTGTTCATTGAACGGGAGTTGGTTTGTTCCCCTTGAAAAGTCAACTAATTTCCGATCAATGACAATGATTACATGTTTTAATTTTTCCTTTTACAACTGAAATATTATTCTTTGAGATGATTTAACTCCAGTCCCCGTTAAAACATTATTAACATTTTGCTTTCAAATTACTTCAAAACATCTTTCAAAATATAACTTACCAGTATGGATGCACACTTTTAAAATAATTCTACTTTAATTAAACTTAGGAGATAATATAATCAATTAATCAATACTGTTTAGGAAATAAATTATTATTAACTAACTTTGCAGCAATTGCGCAAGTAATAATAACTAGTATTCGCACTAAATGGATTTAAGATCATACAACATTTGATATGTCTGTATATATATATCTATATAATATATAATATATAAGTATATATGTTAATAAGTTTTATAATTTAATTTAATAGTAGCCTGTTAATTCCTCTTTTTTAATTTGGTTATTTTCTCTTTATTCTATAAAAATTAATAACTTCTTTGGATTGTGTCATTTCTAGATCTTGCATGGCTTGCATAACACTATGACATAGCTGATTCGGTATCTAAACTCAAAGTTTTAAGAACTGATTCCTCTTGGCGATCTTCCATATTGGATAAATGCCCACTTAGCTTGAACTACTGTGCTGCTTGGATGCTATTTCACTTGTTTTCTTCCTATCACAATAGCATTAAAAATGTAAATGTTCTCGAAATAGGCATGATTAGAATGACAAGAGAACTGTGGCCAAAAATGCAAATTTAAATAAAAATGGAAATTAATCCACCTTGACTGCTCAGTTTCCTATGGATTAGCATTTTATGCAATCAAAATTCTTCTTCAATATGGATCTATGATCTGTCCTCTCTATATAATGCACAATCAGCACTTCTAAATTTGTTTTCATTACATATATATGTAAGAAATATAAAGAATATGTAAAAGATTAAATTAGCAACTTAAATTTTCCTTCTCAATTCTAAAAATAGTAACCTCTCTCTGCACTGCGTCATTTTGAGAAAAATCTATGTCATATGACTCTTACGAAATTCAGGTGGTGTAAATTGAACTAAAGGAGCCAATAATAATTTTACAGCAATACTAACTATCCAATCAAAATGCTTTGAGAACCAAAACTAACTCAGTTTGACTTTATGGTTACCTTTATGCTAGCACCCAAATGAATTTTTTAAAACAGTGTCTGCATTGTGTATAAGTAATGTAATGGCACCATTACATTAGGAGACAGCAATGAAGCTTACTTACATGAGCTACATATTATAATTACATATGCTTCTATTTAACACTTTTTTGTATGTATGCAAGCATTTAAGAACATACAAGCTTGTATGTTAGGATTTAGGAGAGTTCCTTCCCCCTCTCAAGTCCAAACAAATCAGTTTCCTTTCAGAAATTTATTCTTCAAAGCATATTCTAACTGGTGATAATTCAATGCTATTTTTAATCAGTTATTGATAAAAGTTCAATTAATGCATGTGCTTAAGAAAGGTGGATATTTAGAAGCAGTAAAAAATTAGCTGTAACAGAGATTTCTGTTTAACCATGATTAAGTCTAATACTTAATTGCATTTTTAAAAATTTTTCCCTTTAACATTTGCAAACTTTAGCAAATGCAAAAACACAATATGAGCATATAATAATACACAAAATGTGCACTGAATGAAATGAGTACCCGCAAATTAAATATAGTACCCATATTCCATAAATTAATGTACAGTCAAAAGTCGTTAATCCGGACTGGTTGGGACATCGGCGATTATAGATGATCAGTTCAAATCTGGTAAGATGGCATGCAGAAATTCTAAAATTAAAAATATGAAACCGTAAGTTATGAAATAAAGAACAATTATGATCTAAAGGGTATCAAAATTTACAAAAAAAAAAAGCTTAATATTTATTTGTTTACTTTATTAAACATTTCTTTCAATGTAAGTTGTTTAAGTTGCTTCGTTTTATGTGATAATACTTTCTCTTTAATTCTATAAACAGACATAATTTCTTGTTCAGTTACAAAGTTCCGCTGTTCAAGTCCCGTAACTGCTGTGCCGAGAATACCGACTAACTTGTCAATCGAAACTTTTTCGTTTTCACTAACCTCTCTGTCACCTTCTTCATGTCTTTATCCATTTTTTGCAGCAATTCCACTTTTTGTTTGATGGACATCGAAACATACTTTTGTTTTGTAGATCCTTTGGGAGCTCCAGCATCGGAAATTCTATTTGACATAATCGAAAGTTCAAGTTTACTTTTATAAAATTGCTCTTACAGTCTGAAAAAAGTAATAAGCCGGATCCAGTTTGAAGATTATAGAACAATGCAATCATCAGCTTTAACTGAAATACGCAATTAGATAATTTTAGCTTATACCGTCCGTTATACATTAAACGTGCACACGAAAACGTATTCTGCACTTGAGCACACACATATGCGCAGTCATAAAGGTCTTACGCGCACGCGTAAACGCGGCGCATGCGCAGAAAGTTTTTAGCTTTGAGGTCCGGATTATAGATCATTCCAGATTATGGGTGTCCGAATTAACGACTTTTGACTGTATTATCTAAAAAGCAAAATTATAAATGATTAATAAATATGCACATTATTTTAAATCATTCAATTATACAACTTAAAGTTTAATTTGAAAGAAAAAAATCTTATGCCACATTAAATGATACCTCCTCAGGGAATACCTTTATTAGGCAGCTCAGAATAACAATCTTATGGCTTATAAAAAGGCAACACTTCTTAGGCCTAGTAATAATTAAAAAAATGGTAATGTTCAGAAAATAAATCGAGAACTGATCAGCTAAAAAAAAATTAAGAAATGAATTTCTTTGAAAGAACTCACAAACAAATTAAGGTTGTTTACATTTTTGGTAGAAAATTTCACAACATAAATTCTGGCAAGTTGAAAAGCGAAGAATATTGATAGAATTCGGCTGAATCAAACATTACAGGGCTTTACTGATATTCTGCTGAGACAACATTTCCCATACCTCATAACATCCAAATGCATCCAACCGACTTTTAAAATTTCAATACTAATTAATGAACAATCCACTCAGAATAGCGTAGTATATTACTGCTGCTCAAACTACATCTTAAAAGAAAGTTTTTTAAAAAATAATTCGATCTCTCCACACAAATGACACTTGATTATCTTTTTTTAATATATTCTTAATCTTACCTTGTCCTTCATTCATTTTCATTTTAATCACTATCACATACAATAATGCAATATAAAATAATAACAATAATACTCATATGTAGTTTCGTAAGAAAATTTTTAAAGAATCCTTATCCTTATTCTTCATATTATTCTTTTATCGCATGTTATTGTTAAAGTCCCCTGCAGCACTTTCACATATTTTAAGCCGTTTGTCACACCATTTCATGAATGTTAACTCCTCTACAGGAGACTACATAAATCTAATAGCAGAGATGAACGAGATTTTGGAACTGCTGAACCAATATCCAACACAGAAGCCCTTCTTTTTGCAGTTTTTAACACTGCACCTCCTAATGACTTGTTAACATGAAGTTTCATGTTGTGACTATTTTCACATACTCATTTGTCCACGCAAAATAACTCTTTCTTGAAAAAAAAATTATATGGCAGCCACCTCATTACTTGATAAATTAAAGATTGTTAACGTTATATTCGAAAAAAAAAAGTTTTAAAATAAACTATGTGAATTTGAAAACCTTGTGAAAAATAATACAATAGCATGTGGCGACAGCAAAAAAACGAACATAGTGCTAATATACAATGACATAGAAATGTTTAAGAACATGCAGCTGGTGCTAACATCATATCACGTGACGAGGTATTAGAACATGTAGCCAGATTTTGTCAACATATCTCAGTTGATTGGAGATTCAATCTCGGGAGCTGCTATAACAAAGAGTACCAATATTTTTGCAATGTTCTTTTCTTCATTTTTGCTTATTAACTAGCAAAACCTGCTGAATACCAGAATTTTAATTTTCCCATTCTTTTATCAATGCTTTCTAATATGACTCACATATAAAAAATAATGAATTTTATGCCATACTGGGTTGGAGGGGGGGGAGTTTTAAACTTATAACTAGAACAATATTTCAAAGAACTTAAAATAAAAAAAAATTTAAAAAAAAACCCTTTTATTCAAACAGATAGCACATAATTGATTCATAAAAATGCTAGGATGCAAGCAACAAAATTCTTACCCTTCTGTTCCTTAGGGAATTTAGGCCTAATTTTTCAGTAAGTTCTGAAGCTGACATTGCATTTGGTAAATCTTGTTTGTTAGCAAAAATAAGTAAGACAGCTTCAGACAGTTCATCTTCTTTTAACTAAAAATAAATAATTAAATAAAACAACTGAAGTTTAAATGACTGAATTAACTAAGTTACATTAGAGATAAAATAATAAAAGTAAAATTATACAATATATAATTTTACTAATATATAAATATATAATTTTACTAATAAAAGTAAAATTATACAAGTTCATTAAAGTATAAATTATATACAAATACAAATTCATTAAAGTATAAATTGTACAAGAAATAATTCAATAACTAATAAAACTCATTAAAGTATAAATTATATAAGTAATAATTCAACAACTAATAAAACTCATTAAAGTATAAATTATATAAGTAATAATTCAACAACTAATAAAACTCATTAAAGTATAAATTATACAAGTAATAATTCAAACATGTAATACCATATTTTTTGCAGGTAATCGATTTTAATAACTTAACATCCTTCTTAACTTTCATTTAAAAATGAAACAACAGTTGAATATGACTATTACTTTAAAATTATGAAATATAAACATGCAATTAATTCTACAGCAGACATCTGATATCTTAAATTTGTCTTATTTAGCTAACTGGCAATCATATCAAAACTTTAACACAGATGCTTAATGAAAGATTTTATTAAAATGGACTGTGTGCTCTTAAAAAATCATATGTGTCACTTTGTTTTGTTTTCTAAAATGAATGGAAAGCATTTTGCCGATGATGCTGAGGTAAAGGGGAAAAAAATGATGGATTCACTGCCAAGTATCACAAAAGATGAATTTAAATAATGTTTTGAAAAGTGGAATAAAAGATTAGACAATGTGTTAGTGCAAGTAGCGAGTACTTTAAAAGCGACTGAAGGTTTGTGCTTAAAATCTGAATAAATTAGTTAAAAAAAGTAAGTTTGGTTTCTTTTAGGTACTCCCTTGTATATGTTATATGGACCACAAGGAAAAGAAAACTCAGATTTCGAATGAAATGGTGGCACAACACAGAATAAGAAATCTGAACTGGAAACAAAATTTAATTAAACACAAAGTTTGTTCAATGCACATTCCATTTTTGTCACTCACATTCAATGTAAATTATAGAATGTTCAACAATATTGCAACTGGTTTCTTAGAATTTCTGGAATTCAGAATTCTAAGAATTTCAACACAACCTATGTTTGTGTTCAAGAGAATGCATTTGCCTTCTCCATATATGCAATTTATCGGGTATTCCCTAAATAAGGGTTTGAGTGGGCAAAAGATGATAATAACACTCACACTGTATTTTAAAGAACTACTTCTTAACACTCTCAGCTTTGACTACTGTGCCACTCATGATGTAGAAAGCTGAATAATCTTTAAAATAAAGGTCAATTAAATGAAGATACTAGCTTCATGATTACATGTTTTCATTCACACATACAAAGATATAAGAGATGATTTTTATATATTAGAACATCCACAGCAGGATGAAATTCGTGGACAGCTCGCTTTACCTCTGCTCAACTATTTTCATGGGCAGATCTGGGACATTTAGTAGTATTAGAATGGACCATGTAAGCTGCAAACTATCTGAACAGAATTGTGACCAGTTGCATCCTTACATAGTGTCTGTTTTCCCAACTGGAAACGGAATCTTCTAGCAGGATAACATCCCATGTCACAAGGCTTGAATTGTATTGTAGTGGTTTAAGGAGCATAAGGATTAATCCCAATTAATGTTCTGGCCACCTAACTCACTGGATCTTAACTCGATAGAGCACATTTGGAATGTCATGGAGCGGCAGCTCAGAGCTCGAACACCACCATGTCAGAATATCTTGACCTTACGTGACCGCTGTTTAGATATTTGGTACAACTTGTCTTCAGTCATCTACAAGAACTTGTGGCATCCATGCCAAGGCAAGCTGCAGCTATTTTGCAGGCCAAGATCATGCAATGCATTACTGAATAGGTGGTCATAATGTTTTGGCTCTTCAATGTAGATATCATTTTAAAATGAACTGCATAATATTTTGTATCACAGACCAAAAGATAGAAAATTATGTGACATTGCTTGAACAATTGTCAAAGAATACTCTTTGGCCTGTCAGAATGCTCTGTCAACCACAAAAACAGCAAGTTCCTCAGTTTCATATGAAAATTTCCATCCTCTTCCTGACAAAACATCTAACCATACAATCTCTTTCAATTTAGTAATTATCTTTTTCAAATCATTTTCTGATACAGGCCTTTGTCACAAGCCTGTCAAAATTCTCACAGTGCAGCATAATTTTTACTGCAGTTCTGATCAGTGGCATAGCTAGGATTCCAGCGCTCCGGGACAACTGAAGAAGTTGTGCCCCTTTCTGTGTGCCAAGAATGGAAAACATTTCATTACAAAATTTCGTAGCATCAATTTTTGCACCGCCTGTATGCTGCGCCCGGGACAGATGTCCCCCCTTGCCCCACCCTAGCTACGCCACTGGTTCAACTGGCCAATAAAACTTAGTTTTTCTTCTGACATGGTGAAAACATGAAGAATGATTGTATGGTACTGAATGTCAACCATTACAACCTCTACACAGGTTTGAATTGGGTCACTTTAAGTATAATCACCCTATACTATTACTAACCAAGATCCTATCAAGAATTTCTAGTCAAAAAAACTGGAGCTAAAATTTGTACTAACATATAGACCGAGTGAATAGCAAATTCAAGCTTCCAATTACTGACATATTTTGGTAGGAAGTTGGAAGAAAATATCAGCATTAATAACATTTCACATTTTTTAAAAAGCTTCATTTTATGACAACTAAATTATTAGATTTAATTATTAACTGAAAGGGGAATTCACATACATAAAATCAAACTTTGCATTTAATCTCCCCTTATAAAAGATATCAGCATTTTTTACACAATTACAACTGATATATCCAGAGAAAAAAAAAGTTACAATCAGTAATAAAATTGGATCTGTTAGGTAAGTTAATTTATCTTAGTAAGACACAATTTAGCACTATATGGAGAAAGAAGTTGTATATTTAAATTGATAAAGAATGTTAGAAATTTTTAAAAATTATAAATTTGGCACATTTTATGTTAACAAGAGTTAGAAAAAAATGTTAACATTAAAGTCAGATATTAAGTCTTACAAAAGCAATTTAAAATCAGCATTAAAAGTTTTATATATTTATACTATGCTCTTTTTTATCATATCTGCCAACCTCTAAAGATAAAAATTCAGAAGATTTCTCCCCCAAATTCAGAAGATTTCTCCAAAATTCAGAAGAACACAAAGAATTAATATCATGCTTTGATATTAAAAAAAAAAAATATTATACAAATATAAAAAAGAAAATTGCACTTACATTAGTAAATCTCAATTAAGTAGTAACTAAAAAATTTATTAGGAAACATAAAACAAGAACTTAATGTTACACAAAATTATTGCAATGAATTTAGAGTGCATTTTTTGGCTTTAGCCAAAAATTCTTTGGAAAATTTCCTGTCATACAATTAGTTTTCCTCTTAAACATTTAGCAATTAAAATGTTTTCTAGAGTTTTTGGTGAAATTGAAGAACGAAACATAGTTTTGTTTTTCTTCACAACACTGAAGACTCTATTGCACTCAGCATTACTGTGTGGAATTACGAGAATAGCACATAAAACTCTTGCTAGTCTATCATATTTTGGTGTTCCATCAGCTCTTTTTATTCTTTTTAAGGTACCAACGAGGACATCAAGTCTATCTTCTCCAGAACTGGCAAAGTCTTCAAACTGTGCAGCAGAAAATTGGTTCTGTAGTTTATCTAAAGCATCATTATGGCATTCATTTTCTTTAATTGTTAACAAAAATGGAAATTTATATATAAAAAAACGAATCTTTTCAAAAGATGAATTTTCAATTTGTTTCAAATTTGCCCCTTCAGCATTTAAAAGAACTTCATTTTGCAAAGGAAACTTCCTTACAATGTAATCACAGGCTGAGGAAAAGTACTTTCTAACACATTGAAAAAATTATTTTTTCTCATGATCTTTCAAAGAATTTACAAGTTCCCTGGTTTGAATTTCCAATTATAAGATCATTGTCATCCTTTTGATTTGCCAAACTATTATAGGCAACACGAAAACAACACACTGTTTTTCACAACGGACGGTTTTTACAAACTTAGTATAAAGTTCTTTCAAAAGATCATTAAGAATTTGGATAAGCAGGGGAGATTTTGGCAAAGCTGATTGTAGAAGAGTATTTACACTTTCAAAAATCTTAATGGTACTTAACACAAAACTACAATATGCTTTGTTCAAATCCGAAGAAAGAAGATAGAAAATCCTTTCCTCCCGGCTAATAGAAGACTGTTTCTTCTTCCCTTCAACTTCTTTAACAAAGTTGATCTTTAAGGAGTCTTCTAAGCATTTCCTTTTTAAAGGGTTTGATTCTGTGTGTTGGCTTTTCCCTTTTAAAGCATTTTGATTACAAGCAAAGTTGGTTTTCGGAATCTTATATGCCGACAAATTTGATGGGATCTGTGGTTTCGTTTTGGTCTCTTTGTGGAAATATTTTAGCAATGCATCCCACTGTTCAATAAACCTTCCTAGCGCTCTGCCTAAGGATAACCATCTCGTGCATACATGTTTCAGAATTTTTCTCGTTTCACCAGAGCACAGTTCTTGGAAATTCTTTAGGTTTTCTTTCCTTTTTACAATTTTTTCCAGATAGAAAAACACATCAATCAGAAGCTGGTCAATATTTAATGGTAAAGCAGCTGCAGCTTTTTCTGCTGCCAAATTAATTAAGTGGCATGGGCATCCAATAACAATTAATTGATTTTGTTCTTTTTTGAGGAAAGAGGATACACCCTTTTTGTCAACAACCATGACATTGACAAACTGCATTTCATTTGGTGCAGACATGAGCATTATCTGCACCAAATGAAATGCAGTTTGATATTGGGATGTTAAGTTGTTTCAACTCATTAATTACCAAGGAGGCAATATTTTTATATTTAACAATGGAAGACGCAAAAGATGAGTTTTCATTTCATTAGAAACATCACAGAAATATGT